AAAGTGTTTAAAGCTTTTGGGTTTTCAGGTTCAAATAACTCTAAAGGAAGTACACGTTAAAGCATTGTTTTTCCTCATTGGTCCTAGCCCTTAAACTCTAGTTCTCAACTATTTTTTTTCTCTTTTTTCTAACCAGTGAGTCATAATCCAAACAGATGGTTGATTCACTGACGCAAGCTGCCTTGATGTTTAAACGGGTTAGTTCACCTAAAAATCATTTACTCCCCCTCCACTTGTTTCAAACTGGAGTCTTTTTCTTTCAATGAACACAAAAGAAGATATTTAGAAGAATGTTGGAAACTGGTAACCATTGTTGGTATTTGGAAGTCACTAGTTCCAACATTCTTACAAATATCTTCCTTTGTGTTCATCAAAAAAAAAAGAAACTCATGAAGGTTTGAAACCACTTTAGGCTGAGTAAATGTTAATTTTCAGATGAGCAAGTAAAACATTGTGAATCCCAAATCGTATCTTTACCCACCTGTTGCATTTGACCCACAGTTTTTTTAGGTTTCTAACAAACACTTTCAAATTCTCTTTCATCTTCTACAGAGAAATGAAAAAACAGGCGTTTATCAAAATTGACATAGAACAAAAAGCAATAACATTAATTAAAATATTATTAATAATAATAATAATAACAACATTACAAAAAGAAAATGAAAATGCCATCTTTCCAAACCAAGGTAGGTACCGTGACAACTTTGTGAAAGAGAGTAGAAAAAAAGTTCTGCAAAAAGAACCAAATATTGTGTTTAAAATGTGAGTCATCTAATGTTTACCACGCTACAAGTCACGCTATACAGCTACAAATCTAAAATCCTCCCATTTGTCTTCCGAAACACTTCAGTTCTTTCAAATTCAACATGAGGAAGGGAGTTTTAGGCTATGGAGGGGCTGAACTGCAGTGATAATTGGTAAACGTTTCACACTCATTGTGTTCAAAAGGTCAACCTGGAGTATAGAAGAGCATCTTCACGAAGGCAGATTTCTCTTCAGATGTCTAAGGGTGCGTTCACACTTGTAGTTCAGTTCCAAATGTATCAAGAAAACTTTATTTTTTGTGGTTGCATCTTTGGTTCATGTTGTGTTTATGATACGGTCAAATCACACCAGAGATTTTGGGTTGAATACAGAGCAGGGTTCACATGTATTTAAGCTAGTTTGTTTAAAGGGGTCATGAACTGAAAAAGACAACTTCCCTTGACCTTTTCAAATATAAGAGCTTAAAGTACTGTAAAAACATCTGATAAGTTTTAGAACTCAACACCTTGTGGTTGCTCTAATATAATCAAAACAACAAGTTCTAGAATGTTCTGCACTATGATGTAATAATCTGCATAAGCTCCGCCTCCTCAGAAGATTGACACCTACTTCTACTGCACTGCCTGTTTAGCTTTGGCTTTGTTTATATGCAAATCTGTCAGCCAATCAGTGGACTGGATGTGAGTCTACAATTGGCCACGCCAATAAAATAGTCAGTTACTTCATAATTATGACGGATTTTGATGTAAAATTTCTGGAATGTTCTGCTCTATGATGTAATAAGGTGGATGAGCTCCGCCTCCACAGAAGATCTTCCACTACTTTTACTGTACCGCCTGTTTAGCTGTGTTATCATGCAAAACTATTAGCCAATCAGAGCACTGGGTGTGAGTCTACAATTGGCCACACCAATAAAATAGCAGACTTTCATGTTAAAATTCTGGAATTTTCCAAGTAGGTATCGCTGCAAGGATTACACCGCAAGTAGGTTGTGTTTAGGTGGTGTAGGTGGAGTAGAGATTAATAAAACACATCACGTTACTGTAAAGTTAGGGTTGGGTTGTTCTGCTCTATGATGTAATAGGTTGGATAAGCTCCGCCTCCACAGAAAATCGAGACCTAATTCTACTGCACTACCTGTTAAGCTCTGTTATTAAGAAAAACTGTCAGCCAATCAAAGCACTGGGTGTGAGTCTACAATTGGCCACGCCCATTCTCATGAGTGTTAAAGTAGCACATAAGCCAGTTACTTCAAATTAATGATGATTTTGGTGTTAAAATTCTGGAATGTTCTGCTCTATGATGTAATAGACTGAATAAGCTCCACCTCTACTGAAGATCGACACCTATTTGTACTGCACTGCCTGTTTAGCTTTGTTAAAAACTGTCAGCCAATCAGAGGACTTGGTGTGAGTCTACATATGGCCACGCCCATAAAATAGTTACTTTAAAATCATGACGGATTTTGATGCTAAAATTCTGGAATGTTCTGCTCTATGATGTAATAGGGTGGATAAGCTCCACCTCCACTGAAGATCGACACCTACTTCTACTGTACTGCTTGTTTAGCTTTGTTTATAAGCAAATCTGTCAGCCAATCAGAGCACTGGGTGTGATTCTACAATTGGCCACACCCATTAAAAAGAGTGTCCTTATGAGGGTTAAAACAGCACAATATATAGTGTTACTTCAAAATGATAATGGATTTTGTTGTTAAAATTTGGATTATAGCATAAGTGGACCTTAGAGAACAGTACAAAACAAAAGGTACGTCATGACGCCTTTAAATCGAACAAGTGTGAACACACCCTAAATCTTAGCTAGATCTTCACAGCTCAAAACTCCTTTGCTTTCTTGATGCGCATCAGTAAACAAGTCAAGTTCTTTGGTTCCATTCATATGTTACTGTATAGACGTAGCTCCCTTGACTCTTTCTGAAAGGACATCTTTGATTTCTTCTGACCCCAGGTTTGACCCACCGTTAGCCAATCACAATACGCACACATTTACGCATGAATTCATACAAACACTCTCATACGTTTCTGTGCTTTGGTAATGAAGTGTTACAAAAGATAAAGGATATGAACGTTAAATATGAAAGAGGTATTTGGTATTCATTCTACTATTTGGCAAATTCAACTCTATAATCATAAAAAGGACACAAATGGTCCTTCTCTCACATATAAAATCTCCTTGAAAATATATCCCATTTTCATTTTGGTTATTATTTAAACGTGAAAAGGTTCTCAAACCAAAAAAAATATTGACAGTTCAGTGTTAAAAGAGGGACTTATTTGACTATTAAAGCTTATAATGTGTGGAAAATGTTTGTCATTGAGTCCATTTTATAGCAAGTTCCCTCTTTGAACTGCGAAAACGTAAAAAAAACACTACGGCTTAGGAAATGAATATGAAAACCTTAAAAAATGTACATCTTTGGATATCATAAAGCTTGGTTTTTCATATCGAAAACATTTTTGGATAATCTGCTGCCATGCCTGTTTGTTTTTGGGAGGGTTGGGGGTGGGGAGAGCATGGTGGTTTTCTCAGTAAACCCAAAACCAACCATCATCTCGCAGCTCCTTCAGGTTCCCATGGCAACCGATTTGGCATCTGGAGAAAAGACCAGCTGGTTTGGCTGAAAACAATCCCTTTGGATAAACATCCTCACATATTCCTCGGTTGGGAAGCAGAGTAATCCTAAGCTTTTGGTTTAACAGGTGGCATCCGCACGGAAAGGCCCAACAGCATCCAATAAGGGTCCATACTTTCCATGCTAAGATATCCAAACAAAATGGATCCCACTCTATGTCTGCTGTTTCATTTTTTCTTTGGAGTTCAGCAGCATCAGAGCAGATCCAAATCATCTCATCCGACACTTATGATGAATGAACATTCGCATCAACGGCTCTCAGTGATGAAGTAGGGAGGGTTTCTCAGACAGCGTTTGTCTGCTAAGGCAATATCTGGAGGATGAGCAGCCGCGGTCACACTCTCCATGGCAGTCGACCAGATGGGCACCTGAACGCAGGCTCTGGAGACTTTGGCACAGGCACTGGCAGTTAAGAGGAGAAGCAGGTATATCTGAACAAATTTTTTTTTTGGCTGAGGTAGGCATGCTTTATCAGCAAGAGGCTAATGTTAGCCCAGAACAACATTCTGAGGTAGCTATCTTTGGAGTTATACAGCTTTTGGTGGGTGTTATAAAGGACAGGATAAGGGGAATGGTTGGTAAGAATCCATCACTTTTATGGTTCCTCTGGGTTAGCCTGCCTCGAGGCATGACGGTGAAAAACACGACAATCTATTTACTTGAACTCGCACACAACCACAAGCGAAGGCAAAAGCAAGGCCACATTATTTATCATGGTTTATCCGAGTTAAGGCTAACAAACGGAACAAAACATTGCTCCATGTAATCATTTCAACAGAGAATATAGTGAGTTTTGTTAATCACATAATTCATTATGTATCGGAGAGGTATTTATATTTGGCTTCGGCAATGTAGAGCTACACTTTATTACCAGAGGACGCGTTGCGAAAGGAAGTTTTGGTTATAGCAGAAAGCCCTTTGGTAATAAAATATAAAGCAGATATGTTTTGTTTTGCTTCCATTGTGTATTTAAGCTCAGAAAGAGTCACTATTATTAACTATTTTTTCTCCTAAGGCTATCGTTTCTAGTGCAGACACATCGGCATATGGATCTTAAAGAGACAGTTCACCCAAATCAGTTCATCATTTACTCACCATTCCCATCTCACAAACCTGTTTTGAGTTTCTTATGTCTGATGAACGTATAAAGAAGATATTCAGAAGAAACTGGTAACCATTGATTAATTCTTTCTACTATAGAAGTCTATGGTTACCAGTTTCTAGCCTTTTAGGTTCAGCAGGAGAAACAATTGTTTGGAATGAATTAAGAGTGAGTAAATTGTGAGTATTTTGGGGTGAACTATTCCTTTAAGCAGTCAAGCAGTTTGGTAATAAAATATAAAGCAGATATGTTTTGTGTTGCTTCCATTGTGTATTTATGCTCAGAAAGAGCCACTATTTTTAACTTTTTGTCTCCTAAGGCTATTTTTTCTTGTGCAGACACATTGGCATATGGATCTTAAAGAGACAGTTCACCCAAAACTGAAATCTGTCATCGTTTACTCACCATTCCCATCTCACAAACTTGTTTGAGTTCCTTTCTTCTGATGAACGCTAAAGAAGATATTCAGAAGAAACTGGTAACCATTGATTAATTCTATCTACTATAGAAGTCAGTGGTTACTAGTTTCCTTTTAAGTTCAGCAGAAGAAAAAAAACAAAGGTTTGAGTAAATAGTTTGTGGTGAACTATCCCTTTAAGCAGTAAAGCTTTGGATCTAAAGGGAGGGAGAAATGCTAAGCTCTCTATATGCATTTTTGTAGTTACAACATGCTCTTTAACACCCTTAAACAGTAGCAGCGGTTTAGAGAGCATGGTAAATATGGGATTTTGGTGGGCAGGCTAGGCAGAGGAACCACAATGAGTGATGTAATTGAGGTAATGCTAGTGCTAGCCAGTGCCTGTGCCCGTGCCTGGCAGATTGGATGGGTGCTGCTCAATAAGAACCTGACACTGGGTCTGATCTTTATTATGACCCTGAAAAAATAGAGAAAACAAATGTTAATATGATTAACCACCACATACGTTTTAGAGGGAGTTTGGAATGAACTCGCTGAGATGCTAAAGCTCAATTTGTGTTACTGAATAAAGTTATAAAGCTTTATAAAGCTAGACCTAAAGCGCTAGTCTTACCTGAGGAACTAATTCAATGCCTTGAGCAGGTTGTGTTATTCCCTGTTTAGGGAGTCCGTTGCCCTGAACTCGATGCCCTCCATCTTCACCCTGTGGCACAGACCAGCTGTCCTGGGTCCCCTTCCTACAGAGAAAACTGAGACAAAAAGTACATTTACTATCATACTTCAGACGTTGCAAACTGATTAATAGAATTTTTGTAATATTATATGAAAAAAAAGGCTAGAATGTGAAGATAAAGATATATAATCCTGCTAAAACTAATAATTATACATATTACTGTTATTAATATAATCATAATAATACTAATCATGGCTCTTAAGATATTTATGAATATTTTAGCATTATTTTATTTATGCAAACAGCTTTTACTTGTATTCAATTATATTATAAATAGAGTGTTGTTAATAAAGGTTACGTAACAATTAGCAATTTATAAAAATATGTTACTGTCTTTATATTAGAAGTGCATCTCAGTTTATTTGTAGAACACGTTATTGTATATTACTTGTATCAGAATGAAAACATTCTGTATGTATGTATATATATATATATATATATATATATATATATATATATATAAAAACATATAAACGCATATATACACACATATACTGTATTGTTTTACTGAAGCTAAAGAAAGTTACTAAATGTATTAAAATACTATTGATATTAATATAATATAATCTCTCTTTTAAAGGTGAAACTTCATATTTTTTTATCAGCACTATAGAAGTATGCCTTAAAACTACTATTAATATAAATTAATACTACCATTCATATATTCATTATATTGTATTTCTAAACTACATAATGACATTGCATTTTATATCTGTAAAGTATAAAAATATAGCATGCAGTGCTCCACATATATAAGTAAACCCCTCACAAATCTATAGGAAGCTATACAATATTATATTTGTGCCAATACATTAGATTAGTCAGTAATGAAGCCAAATCTGGAGCTTATCTAACAAAATAACTTACAATAACGGCCCAAAAACTAGTGTTGGGAAATAGGAATATATATTTTTAATGATTTTTGTCTCTTTTTCATTTCATTAAACAATTATTTGTATTGGTCATTTAAAAGTCATATATTAAATTAAGTTTTTATCGAGTCTAATATGTTTTGCATATTAATGAAGCATTAAAATTAAATATTAGCAGACATTTTTGCAATATTTGAAATATATGTTGCATATATGGCATATAATTGATATATATGAAATCTAAATATGAACTTGTATGTCATATAAAAAATTTACTTGGGTACGATATGTTCATTTATGGCCATATAGACACATATAAAAACCTATAGTTAATAAATTTGCACATTGGTGTAAACTTTTCCTAATTAGGGTTTAAATACAAGCAAATATTTGTACAATATTTGAAATATTTAAACACCCGTCACAAATCTATCTTTTAAATTCATATTTTAATAGGAAGCTAGACAATATCATATTAGTGCATATACAATAGATTAGTCAGTACTGAAGCCAAATCTGGAGCTTATCTAACAAAATAACTTATGATAACGGTCTAAAAACTAGTACAGCCAAATTTATATGTTATGAAAAAAATATTAAGTACAAATTCAAATTTAAAAAGAGGAAAAATCAAGACAAGCAAAAAAAAAATTTTTTTTTGACATTTTGTAGGTTGTATTTTTATTTTTAATTTTTTTGCAATATTTTCCTTGAATTGAATTTTATTATCTTTCACTGTTTGGTGACTACAATATTATTTTAATAAATATATCTGTTTATTAAATCTGTTTTGTTTAAATGCACCAAAACACATTGCCAATATCCACTGAGAAATGGATAAAAATATTTATTTTCAAAATGGGCTGTACTCAATTATGCTGAGCACTGAATATAAAACTATTTATAACATTTCTGCATAGAGATTTCTTCATTACCTGCGCCGATATCCGAACATGAGGAAGAGCACACAGAAAATGATGCAGGCCATGCCGATGTGGATGCCAACCACAATGCTGCTCACCGAGCCCTCCACACCCCTGCAGTTACACTGAGCTTCCTCTCCTGCACCACAGAACATGATTATCATTGAGTTAAAATTCAGTTAAAAATAATAAACATACTTACAGTACACATGTCTTAAAGCAAAAGCTAGTTTACCTGCTCTGGTTTTAGCACTTGTGCCGTCCTCAGCCAGTGACACGAGCTTCTTCGAACAGTCGCTCTCTCCATTCCCATTGTAGGCCACCAGTTTGACTTCATACACAGCACCGGCGTCTATGGAGAAAGTGGAAACGTCCGTATTACACACACACATACACCGCAAAATCAATCACAGATACTCCAGCATTCTCCTCACACATATACACTGCACTGCTTTTGTTGACTTTGCAGTCGCAGTATTGATTGGCTGCGGTGAACAAACTCCTGGATATTATGTCCGTCTTTTACTTTGGCTTATTTTTAGTACCTGATGCAAAAAGTGTTATCAGCAATAATCGCAATTTTCACACGCTTTTCCAAGTTTTCTAAAATTCACGTATTAGACAAGTACAAGTAGAAGTGCTTATTGCTCAGATATAGGTCAGGTCTGTTTTTGAAGGGATAGTTCACCCAAAAATGAAAATTTCCTCAAGTGTTTCTATATAGAAATCTGATATACGGCAACACATATATGCAAATGACAAAAGATCATATTCGAATTTCACATATGTAAAACATAATTATGTCATTTATGCAACATAATAAACATATATTTCAAAATACTTCAAACATTGAGATATATAGTTAGATTAGTTTAGATATATATATTTCTATATTTTTTATATATATTATTACAATAGTTCTGTCTGGTTCTCGAATCTGATTGGCTGATAGCCGTGTGATATTGAGGTATTATTAGCACTCATACAGCCCTTGTGTATTACTCCACCCACACGAGTAATGAGCAGAGGACTACAGTTTTGACAAATATTGCAGCTGTTGAACAACAAATTGTACTTTTGAGGCTTTTTAGGGGAGAATGTAGTTGTTTAGATTGCAACTACACAGTTTTTTTAATATAAGGACAGTGCTTAATTTATTTTTCATTTCAGAGATTTAGCAAGCCTCCGGCCATCAGCCTGTCATACTGAGCAGAGCAAAGACGGTTGACATTCCGCCACAAAAACCGCAAAATAAGTCCTTAGAGGAGAAAAAAATTTCAAACTTCAGCTGAACAAATCATTACAAAACAGGTAAGTGACTTTCTAAGTAAACATCTCTCTTTTGTATGCTGGTAGTGCTGTATTTATACCATAGTAATCTGGTATTGTTTGCTTTGGCTTTTTGGGGGTTAATTATTGTGATCTCCCGGTTGCAACATAGAAATACTGAGAAATCTCTGTAGACTGATGGCATTTCATGCTGTTCAGCCTTATAATCTTAACATGTGAGCAAAATCACGTGTATTGTCATTATTTTAGACATTGCGCTAGAGAATCATTCAAATACTAGCTCTAAAGTGACGTTTGTGAGTTAGCAACCGCTTCTGCTGTTCTGAAGTCAGCTGCAGATGTGAATGAATGGCGGAAGAAAGTAGTTCTTTATACAAAAGTGTTTTTAGTCTCTCCGTGTTTAATTTTCTTTTTTATATACATGATTACGCCGTCAATATGTTACAATATCACACAATAACAATTTCACACGAGTAAACATCCAAGTTCATGTTTGAATTTCACATCTCGAAAACATTTGTCATATATATATATATATATATATATATGACCTTGGATGTCATATATGTAAATTGCATACTGTTTATTTCCATATATGCAATTTCTATATGGGGTTGTAAACTTTTAAAAATGTATTTGCTCTGTTAAACACAAATAAAAATATTTTGAAGAATTTTGGGGAAAAAAGGAGCCATTGACATCCATAGTAGAAACAAAAAAATCTCTGGAAGTTAAAAAACATGTTTATTTTCCCCATTGTTCTTCAATTCATCTTCCTTTCTGTTGAACAGAAGAGAGAAATTCAAGCAGAGTTGGAACAAGTGGATGATAAATAAATGCTGATTTTTTGGGTGAACTGTCCCTTTAAGGTGGGCTGAGCAGAGGAATATTTCAGCTGTCACTGACTGTACAGACATAAAAGCTTGTACAGAGCTGATAAAAGGGTCGAACAGTGATGTGAGAGAGCATTTCAGCCTAAAACACCAGAATGAGCAGAGCTGGATGGAATCTGATGACGTGCTGTGCTGAGATTGTAGGAATATACAGTATATGGGGTCCTTTGTATAGCCTCTCAAAGTATTTAGACTTAATACTAAATGCCAGTGATCTTCTAATAGATTTTGAGAGTAATATTTATGTTGTTTAATTAGAAATAAACATGTAGAATTTTTCAAGTAATGAACTTTTGAAGTGAATAGACTTCAATTTCTTTGAATAATAAGAATTTAAGAAAACTTCAGAACAAATGATGACAAGAAGTCCTGACAACAAATGTTCTTTAAGCTATGCAATGTTTAACTTAATATATATTTTTGTTTGATTGATGCAAGTTGAGAAGACTAAAAAAGATGATTTAATTTAACAGAAAAACTGTGTGAGAAAGATTTTTTTACAATGCATTTCTTCCTAATAATAACCTTACTCTGTCATATTGAAAAATGCATTTATATTTTTTTATCATTGGTTCAACTTTTTGTTAATAAAATGATAAATAAAAAAGAATTAATAAAAAAAGGCCCAAACAGACCAAGAATCTGAAAACATTTTATACATTTTGAATGTATTGAGACACCAAAAATGCAATTTACAAACTCTACAAATGACTTACTTAAACTGCATGCATTTAATTGCATTAGACAACAAAACTACACCATCTGGCTTCAGCAGATACGACCCAGCTCCTCAAAGCATGTCATAAGGCTTTTATATATCAGATATAAAGATTTATATATCATCTGAAATGTAAATAAATTTACACTAATGTTTGTTTTTTAGGACAGGGCAATATCTGGAATCTGAGGGTTAAAGAATATTATGAAAATCACATTTTAATTTGTCCAAATTAAGCTCTTAGCAATGGATATTACTAACCAAAAATTAACTTTTGATATATTTATTGTTGGAAATGTTCAAAATATCTTTAGAGAACATGATTGTTGGCATAAAATATCAATGATTTTGACTAATGCAATGTATTTGTAGCTATTCCTAAAAATGTACCCATGCAACATGAGATTTTGTGGTCCAGGCTTACATACAGTTGAATTCAGAATTAATAGCCCTACTGAATTATTAGCCCCCTTTATTTATCTTTTCTCCAATTTCTGTTCAATGGAGAGATTTTTTTTCAATACATTTATAAACTTAATAGTTTTAACATCTCATTTCTAATAACTGATTTATTTTATCTTTGTCATGATGGGGTATTTAGGCAAGTCTTTGTAAAACAGTGGTTCTGTAGACACTTGAAAAATATAAACATTGCTTAAGGGGGCTAATAATATTGACCTTAAAATGTTTTTTAAAAATTTGAAGCTGATTTTATTCTAGCAGAAATAAACAAAAAAGGCTTTCTTCAGAAGAAAATATTTTATAGGAATTTAGGAAATACTGTGAAAAATCACTTGCTCTCTTAAACAACATTTAGAAAATACATATTAAAAAAAAGATTTAAAAAAATAAGTAAAATAAACTAAAAAGGAGGGCTAATAATCTGCACTTTAACTGTATTTATTTCACATTTTGTCTAATGCTGCATCATATAATTTCCATAAACAAAAACCAATTCTCCCTCACCGAGATGTGAGATGATGTGAGCGTTAACATGGCAAGGCAACTGAATGGGCCCCTGCATCTCTCCATGGGGGACCCTGCGGTAGGTCAGACGGAAACCCTCTGCTTTTCCAGGCTTATTGGGAAGCTCCCACAGGACCTGGACTGCTGTGGCGTTTATAGCCTTGGTGAAAAATGTAGGTGGACTGGGCACTAGAGAGAGAGAAAAAAGCATCATGATGAGCTCACAGGAGCAAGAAACACTGTCAAAGTTCATTCTGTTCAAGCAAAAAACATAAGGCGGATGAGGAAAAAAAGCCATGCAATGAATGAAACAGATGCTCGGACATCTGCGCCAAAGCAAATCTGATCAGAGGGAGTTAAAAGTGCTGACAATAGACAGAGAGGAGGTTTTGAAAAATATAGTGACCTATGCAAAAAGCAACCAGCATGCAGTGAGTGCAGGTGTGCAGGTACATACCGCCCCCTAGTGTTGTGGAGACCACAGTACTGGACTGTTGACTGGCCCCCAGCGGAGAATAGGCCTTCAGGTAGATGGAGTAGGTGGTCGCAGGTTCCAAGTTTGTGAGGTCATGCTGAAATGTTGTCTTGCTCACGGCCTCCTGTAGTTCTTTACTCTCAGACTCTGGAAACACAATGCAATTATGCAGTGAACTGCTAGAAAAATATCCCTAATTTAAGCTTCTATTAATTGGTCATTGATAAACCCCTGCAAAGCCCTTTCATGTTGAAAAATAACCTTATTAAATAGATTGGTTATAAGCATGCCATTACGGATTTTGTGTGTGTGTCATTGAGTTTATTAATTTACTTATGCAAATGCGTGCGTGTGTGTGTGTGTGTGTGTGTGTGTGTGTGTGTGTGTGTGTGTGTGTGTGTGTGTACGTGTTTATGTGTGTTTGTGTACAGACAATTTCAACGGTGGTCATGTCATTGTCCCATGAACATTTCCAGCTTGTTATCAAACTATTTCAAAACTGTAACAAGAGGCAATTTAATCATAACTCGATGTTAAAACAGCTATCATAACATTATTTATCAATATGTGGCTCTTTTTGGATTCTCTGAAATTAAAAATGTAAAACAGGAATTACGCTGGGACTATTGTTTTCGTTTACATCCCTCAAAATAGTCTATGTTGTTTTCAGTTTTTATAGTATTTTCAGCAATATTATTGAATAAAATGCAAATGTTTATATTATTTAAGTACAATGCAGTTTATAAAATTATATTTTTCGTCTTCTATTAGATGTATGAGTGAATTTATTTACCAAACAAGTGGTTCAAATTGGATGTGCATTATAAACCTTCAATAAAAGTTCAAAACTTTTTTATTTTATTTATTTCATGTGTTAAGGTTTTAGTTACGGTATTCTCAAAATCATTTAGCATAAATCAGCAGGTTTTATTAAAAATTCTGCACAGAAATAGCAAGAAATGTCTGCAGATTCTGTCTGGCCCTAATTATTAGTCATGTTAATCTATCAAAATAATATAGACAGATTTTATAACCCCAATTTTAACCCCTTTGTTTACAAATGTTCATAAATTATACATAAAGCCTAAACAAATTAACTTAGGTAGGCCTTATGTGGTCATATGAACAGATACATAAAAATATAGCTTATAAATTTGAACATATATGCACATTTATTAATTACAATGCATATATGACACACTGTAAAACCCAATAAGTTAAGGTAACTCAAACCATTTGAAGAAACTGAGTGCAACAAGGGATTTAAGTTCAAAAACTAATCCTGAGTCCTGTGAACTTAATATATTTGAGTAAACGAAGCAGTTTGAGCACAGTAAAAATGAAGAGAACTCAAACTAAAGATATCTGAGTTCATCCCAATGACATCGTTTCGCTCTATCCTTTTTAACAAACAACAACAGTCCATTTCTCAATGTATGTGTTTTTAATATATTGAAATGTGGTAAAGCTGGAAAACTAAACTGTATTTTTATATTATATCAATTTTATATTTATTACTAATATTATTAAATTTTTATTTTTTATTTATTTTTTATTTTTATATAAATCGTGTTTTGCAGACCTCTTGGCCAGGTCACCCTTGTAAATGAGATCTTGATCTCAGTGGGTTTTTTATCTGGTTAAATAAAGAAACATATAAACTGAGTATGGTAAAACCAAATAAATGAAGGCAACTCAAACCCTTTGAGGAAACAGATTGCTACAAACTATTTGAGTTGAAAACTAATCTATATGAGTACTGTGAACTTACTCCTTAAGGTGAAGTATTGAGGTATTTAATTAACTCATAACCTTCAACACAGAGTTCAAACTCTTTTCAAATGAGTAGAATTAACTTTCAGTCAATTTTGAGTTAACTACACTCATTTCATTTGATAAAGTTGACTGTTGGGTTTTACAGTGCATATTTTATGTGGGAAATCTAAAAGCAAGCTTGTATGTCATATAAAAAATGACTTGGGTAGGATATGCTCATATATGGTCATATGAACACATATATAAAATTATAGATTACAAATATACATAAAAAAAATAAAGATTAAATGCAAGCATACATTTTTACAATATTAGTTGCAAGTATGACATATTGCATATTTGTCAAATCTAAATCTAAATTGTACATCAAATACGTTATTTGCATATATAGCCATATATAAAATGTAAATGTGGGACTGATCTTACGATATATTTTTATATTATATAAATCTCATTATTGTTTTATATGTTTTGAGATGTTTAGATGTTTGAGATTGTCTGCGTTTTGTGTGATGGACCTGAAAATAAGGGATAAAAGATCAAATTTGTTCAATTAAAAAAATGTAAACATTAGAGAGACCCTCACCGCCATATTTGCGTATGTGCAGCACATATCCAATGATGCCGTCTGTGACTTCAGCCGGCGGCTGTGTCCAGGAGAGCTGCAGGGATGTTTTGGACAGAGCCGTGGCCTTCAGGCCCTGAGGAGAGTCGGGGAGCTCTTTGGCCAGAGACACTGCCAGACGAGCGCTGGCCTGATTCGTGCCCGCAGTGTTTTCAGCTATGCACTGATATATGGCTTCATCCTCCGAGGTGATACGAGTCACAGCAAGAGTACTGAAAGCATTGAAAAAAGAATGATTGTACTCTGAATTTAAGCCCACATATTTGTTACCTTGTTCAGTCTGCATTCACAGGTTTTGGCACATAGAATGATTTGAATATAGATGTAACTAATAACTTTTCTGCTTTTGATTTTAATGAAATAATGTGCAATCTGCTTTGAAACAATAATTATTATAAGAAGTTTATGCAATTTTTTTTACAAATAAACTTGAATTGACTTCAATGTTTCCCAGCACTGGGTTGCAGCTGGAAGGGCATCCGCTGTGTAAAACATATGCTGGATAAGTTGGCGGTTCATTCCGTTGTGGTGACCCCTGATGAATAAAGAGACTAAGCCGAAGGAAAATAAACGTATGAATGATTGAATTGATCAACTCTGACATCTAGTGGACAGTGGTTGGTAATGCATCAGCACAAATGTATGATCGGCAGGACTAAATAAAGCAACTAATATTAATAAGTAAAGTTTATTTATAAAGAACAAAATTTGAAAAATTGTGCACATGTAAAAAAAAAAAAAAAATATATATATATATATATATATATATTATTTTTTTTTTTTTTTTTTTTACTTATAAACTGATTTGACAGGAAATAATACATCAACAATAGCAAATGTTAACAAAAATTAAAGATTATATATAAAACTATAAAATATGATAGAAAGTCTAAAATATTAATAAAATAATAATTTTCTCGACTAAAACAAATAGTGAAATAACTATAAATAGATAATTTTAAACAAATTACAAAGAAATTTCAAATAAATACAAATATATATATATATATATATATAAACACAACTAAATTAATCAGACTTTTCCTTTTAAGATTTAAGAAAAAAAATTAATTAAATTAAAACTATTTAGGTTAAATTAATTATCACAATTGTATTAGTCCTAAACCCTTTGACTGCAGCTCTACCACATGGTTGACCATATTTTGACTGTTTTAAATAATGACTGTTAACGTAAATAAAGAATGAAAAAAAAATCAAACAAACATAATCCTGTTGCAGAACTACACTTGATTTAGTTTTTTTGTTTTTTTGTTTTGTAAAAAAAAAAAAAAAATTAACAGGAAAACATTTTAAATAAGAATCTAAAATATTTTATGGCATACTTCAAAAAATAAAGATGATTTGATATTCAAAAATGTTTTATTTTGAATATATTTAAAAAAAAATTGGTCTTACACTTTATATTTTCTGATTTTTGTGCTATTTGCTTATATATGCTATTTGCTATATATGTATACCATAAACCGACATATCAACTATTTGGTAGAGGCTGCTATATTAGAAATTATGGGATGTGTTGAAAAATAAGCATGGAGTGTGTTAACTAGCGACATCAGGAAGAAATGCAATCCACTTTTTTTCGGTGAGGAAATTAAAGGTAATGATGATGCTAAAATAACAGCTGGATTAGTATGGTCAAATAAAATAAATCGAAAAGTACAACAATGATTTTTACTTTAAGTAAATGTTTACTGAAAATAATTTTAAAACAACCTTTCAGCTAAAAAAAACACGTTAAAATGCTTTATTAAGGTTTTCTGAAGGTAGTGTGGTAGTCTTTGTGAGTGTATTGTTCATTTGTGAATGTGTGTACCTGTTGTTGTTGGTGAGTTTGACATTATCACCAGGCGTGAGAATCTTGCCGTTCTTCAGCCATATAATGTGCGGCTCCGGGACCCCCTGAGCGACGCATGTGAACACCGCACTGCCCCCTGCCGGCTTCGACACGGACTGCGGCCACTGAATGAACTCTGGAGGAGCTGAGGACAGACAACAGTTATTATAGTTTACTCAAATTATTTGAGTAATCATGTTTTAAAAATTACTTTTAAAAAAATGTTAACTTAAAAAGACTAGAATAGGTATTATAAGATTAGTTTACTATATTTACTATTTTATATACTAATATTATATTATATTATATTATATTACATTATATTATATTATATTGATAGTTAAATATCTAATATATTTTTATTTTGATAGTTTAATATAAATCTGATTGTTAAACTTATTTAGTTTACAATTTAAAAACAAATCTACACAGACAAAAAAAATGTCACAAAAATGTAACTAAAACTAAAAAGAAATCTGAAAATATTATATTATTCATAAAAAAAACTTATCTTAAAAATACTAAAATAACACTGGATGAGGCACAAAAATATCAAATATAAATCATCAATCATATCAAGCCATGTGAAATAATGTCACTGTTTCTAGAAGTCTGAGTTGGTGCACATTGAGTATTGATGCTCAAATATTAATAATAATAATAATAATAATAATAATAATTTATATTATTATCGATGGTGAATAGGTTTTCAATTAATTAAGATTGCCGTGCAAACTTTAATACTTGATTAAAAGTATTAAAAACCTATTTTGAATATGTAATAATAATAATAATAATAATATGAATATGTAATAATAACTTGAAAACTAATGACTTGTCTTGATCATGCCAAAACTAAACATTCATTAAACAGGTTTTTCTGTCAAGTGAGAACCAGAGATACATTTAAACCCTTTACAATAATTTTGTATTAGTTAATGTTTTTACTAACACGAACAAACACTGAACAATACATTTAAAACAGTATTTATTCATCTTTGTTACAAAAATAAAGTTGTTCATTGTTGGTTCATGCTAACTCACAGTCAGTGTTGGGGGTAACACAATATTACTTTTACGAGTAACGAGTAAAGTAATGCATTACTTAAAAGAATTAAGTAATAATATTTAAGTTACTCTTTTTCAAAAAAAGCAACTCGAGTTATTTTTTAGATTAATTAATTCGCCTTTTAAAAAATAAATTGCTGAATTAAAATTAGCGTAATTACGTTGAATCACACACTCAATGAGAGAATTCAGGAACAGATAGAAACCAAGATGGCAGGCAGAGCCTTACATTTGTATTCTCATTAGTTTGAACACACGAAAGAAAAGAAGATCATAGTCTCTATGGACAGTGATTTTACTGAACTAATAAGACAAAAACACCAAACACATTGCTTTTAACCTTTATTAATCTCTATATACAGCATGTATAGCGTCAGAAGGTAACATTGTTTTAATTGTTTTTTAATTCGTTTGTTTTTAAAGGTAAATGCAGGTGAAGGTTATACAGTGCGTCCTTAAATGCAGAGCTCCTCTATTTAAAAAAAAAATCCCTGCAAGTTCTGAAAGAGATCAAGCCTCAGGCAGGACAGAAAAAGCAACTAAAAAGTAATGTAACGCATTACTTACCACAAAAAGTAACTAACTAACGTAACTAGTAACTTTTTTGGGGGAGTAACTCAATATTGTAATGCATTTGTTTCAAACTTCCCCCAACACTGATTGTGGTGCATTAACTAATGCTAACAAGCCTGAATTTGGATTTTAATAATGCATTAGTAAATGTTTAACTATAATAAATGAGACACTACTATTGTTTATTAGTTAGTAAATACATGACCTAATGAAACCTCATTGTAAAGTGTGACTTACTTATTTAACAGCAAGACAAAATTGCTCAATTGAAATCTATTGAACTTATATCTATCTGGTATTGAACTTAAACTCTGCTTTTATAAGATGCGGGTTCACGGTTCCGCTTGACACCCCTTCAATGTCCACACAATGGCCATGCATATATGCAGCGCTCTTCACAGCTTAGAACTTATGCATCTCATTGATCTGTGACACCCACAGCCAGAAACGCCCCCAAACGAGCCCCTTCTCCTTGGGAAGAGGGTCTGAGGTGTGGGAGGGTCAAGGGTCAAAGGGAGCCCGATTTCAATAGAGGGCTATTAATCAATGCAGACGCAGATCTTTAAAACAGCGCAGCTTCCTCTTCGAATGAGGTCAAAATATTTCAAACCGTCCCACAAAATATGGATTTGCCAGATCGATATGAGGCACAGAGAGGGCTTTAATTGGGTTTCACAGATTATTGTTGTTTTTCATCATTCTGTGCTAAACAGTAAGTGTAAAGATCACTCAAAATGAAATGATTATTAATGAAATCCACTTCAGAATCAATGTGGAGTCCAATTAGGACCATTAATTAATATCATTAATGCTGTTTATTTAATAATAAAAAAATGAAATAAATAAGAGCATTTAATTGGGTTTTTGCAGGTTACTGTTGTGTTTTTCATTACTCTGTGCTAAAGATACCTAAAAATCAAATGATTATTAATGAAAACTGCTTCACAATCCATCTGTAGTCAAATTTGGAATATTTAGTAATATTATTAATGTAATTAATTTAATAACGAAGGAGAAAATGAAGTAAATAAGAGAATTTAATGAGACTTCACAGATTATTGTTGTGTTTTTGATCATTCTGTGCTAAATAGCAGATGTAGAAATAACTAAAAAGAAATGATTGCTAATGAAACCTACTTCAGAATCAGTGTAGTCAAATTAGGAACATTTATCATTAATGTAATTGATTTGATGGAGAATATGAAGTAAAAAGGAGCATTTAATTGAGTTTTCACATATTATTGTTGTGTTTTCATCATTCTGTGCTTAACAGTAAGTGTAGAGGACACTAGAAAATTAAATGCATTTTTAATGAAATCTACTTCAGAATTAATGTGTAGTCAAATTAGGACCATTTAATAATATCATCGATGTCATTTATTTAATAATAAAGGAGAATATGAAATAAATAAGAGCATTTAATTGGGTTTCGCATGTTATTGTTGAGTTTTTGATCATTCTGTGCTAAATATTAACTGTAAACAGACCTAAAAATGAAGTGATTAGTAATGAAATCTACTTCAGAATCAATGTGTAGTCATATTATGTTGTATTAAAATATATCTAATGTCATTCATTTTAATAATAAAGTAGAATATGCAGTAAATAAGAGCATTTAATTGGGTTTCGCAGATTATAGTGGTGTCTGTCATCATGCTGTGCTACAGATACCTAAAAATAAAATGATTATTAATGAAATCTACTTCAAAATCAATGTAGAGGCAAATTAGGATAATTTTAAACTATAATTAATGTCATTCGTTTAATAATAAAGGAGATTATAGAATTTCTGTGTTTTTCATCAGTCTGTGCTAAACAGTAAAAGTGTAGAGATACCTAAAAATCAAATGATTATAAATGAAATCTACCTTAGAATCAACGTGGAGTCAAATTAGAATCATTTAATAATATCAATAATGGAATTCATTTAATAATAAAGAACAATATGAAATAAATAAGCATTCAACTGGGTTTCGCAGAAAATCGTTTGTGTTGTTCATCACTCTGTGCAAAATAGTAACTAAAAATGAAATGATTATTAATGAAATCTGCTTCAGCGTCAATGTGTAGCCAAATTAGGAGCATTTAATAGTAGCATTAATGTCATTCATTTAATAATAAAAGAGAATATGAAATAAATAAGAGCATTTAATTGCGTTTTGCAGATTATTGTTGTGTTTTTCTTCATTCTGTCCTAAACAGTAAGTGTAGAGATACCTAAAAATCAAATGATTATTAATGAAATGTACTTCAGAATCGATGTGGAATCAAATTAGGACCATTTAATAATATCATTAGGGTAATTTGTTTCAGAATTGAATAATAAAGGAAAACAAGAAATAAATAAAAGAGTTTAATTGGGTTTTGCAGATTATGGTTGTGTTTTTCATCATTCTGTGCTAAAAAGTTAGTGTAGAGATAAAAATGAAATGATTATTAATGAAATCTACTTCAGAATCAATGTGTAGTCAAATTAGGATCATTTAATAATGTCCTTGATTTAATAATAAAGGAGAATATGTAATAAATAAGAGCATTTTCCTAATTAGATGTAAGTTAAGATGTCTAGAAAAGTTACTTTAAATTAACTAAAAAAGGTTAGACAGCAAGAACTTTTTAATATCACAATTATGAGTTTACATTAAGCCAACTATGACTTAATTATCTCGATTTTTGAAACTTAATTTCGAGTGTGTACTGGCTCTCTCACCATTCTGACTTTACTTGAATTCTATTCCTTTTTTTATATTTAACAAATAGTCTGAATCATTTAGGCCAGGCCTGTCCTGGAGGGCCGGTGTCCTGCAAAGTTTAGTTCCAACGCCAATCAATCAGACACACCTGGGCTAGCTAATCAAGCTCTTACCAGGCTTTCTAGAAACATCCTTGCAGGTGTTTTGAGGCTAAAATCTGCAGGACACCGGCCCTCCAGGACCGAGTTCTGACACCCCTGATTGAAGCAGATGAAACATGTTTCGACTTTCTCTAAGTTCTTTATTTTGTTACTCAGTTTAAAGCATTTCTATTCAAGTATGTCTGTTTAACAACAGTTTTACTTAAGTTTTGGTGTAAATGAGGTGGCAGATGAATGAATGGCACACACACAGTGTTCATTCAGTCTGAAGTGACCTCTGTCTTATTGTGTCCTGCCATAGTTTCATTAAACACACACCCATCCAGCCCCCCCATCCCTCCATTGTGACCCCAAACCCTGAGCTGAACACAATCAAACCATTTTAAAGGCAAAATCAGGATTCTTATGTTTTCTTATACCTCTGTAGCTTTTGAATGGTGAATATAAACTTTTCACAAATACTTAAGCAACATATCATCTACTGACGCTTCATATCAGAATGATTTCTGAAGGATCATGTGACCTTGAACACTGGGATAATGATGTTGATATTTAAGACTATATTTAAATAAAAATAGAGTTATCTTAAATTGTATTAATTTGAACAATATCACCGTTTTACTGCAAACGGTGCTCAAATAAATGCAGCC